ACTACAATACTTGGTCTCGATCGATGAGTATCTTAGTGCCAAAAATAAAATTGGATTCATAGATGGATCTATCAAGAAACCAAGGGCATATAAGAAATCTCTTGATTCTGGCGGCATGTGTGAGATCCCACATCGACCAACGGAGAGTGAGTGATGTGCTTTATATGTACACACCCGCATCCATATAGCACGAGGCCTTTTGGGAGCTCACTCGGAGTCGTAGGAACTCCGAAGTTAAGCGAGTTGGGGCCAGAGCAATCCCAGGATGGGTGACCCATTGGGAAGTTGGTAGTGAGCTCCTAGAAACAAAACTGTGAGGGCCAGAGAGGGGGGCCCAAAGCGGACAATATCGTGCTACGGCGGAGCCGATTCGGGATGTGATAATTTGGTATCAGAGCCACTCTGCCGTGTGGTGTGAGTGTGCCGACGAGGACGTCGGGCCCTTAAGGGGGGTGGATTGTGAGATCCCACATCAACCAACGGAGAGTGGGTGATGTGCCTTATATGTACACACCCGCATCCATATAGCACGAGGCCTTTTGGGAGCTCATTGGCTTCGGAGTCGTAGGAACTCCGAAGTTAAGCGAGTTGGGGGCCAGAGCAATCCCAGGATGGATGACCCACTGGGAAGTTGGTAGTGAGCTCCCAGAAACAAAACCGTAAGGGCCAGAGAGGGGGGCCCAAAGTGGACAATATCGTGCTACGGCGGAGCCGACCCGGGATGTGACAGCATGTCAGTGGTGCAACGACATGGTAGTGTCGTGGCCTTTGACTTCCCTAGAACCCAATGTGGCTGATAGCGTCATCTACTTGTCCACCGCTCACAAAATTTGGGAGGACCTTCGCAAGCGTTTTTTCTCAAAACAATGTCCCTCGTCTCTTTCAAATCAATCGCGAGATCGCCTCTTTCACCCAGGGGCAGCTTTCGATTGTTGCATACTACACCAAATTAAAGGGCTTTTGGGGTGAGTTGGCCTCTTTCAGTGAGGCCACATCTTGCACATGTGGTGCACAGAAAGAAACCAATCGGCTTATGCAATGTCTTATGGGATTACCCGAATCTTACAGTGCAATTCGTGGGCAGATTTTGTTGATGAAACCTCTCCTGATAGCTCGACAAGCATATTCCTTCATCTCACAGGAAGAGAAACAGTGGGAACTTGGCTCCACCCGTCCTCTAGATTTGCAGACAGCAGCATGGCCATTCGTAGCTACTCTCGCACACGTCCAAGAGGGGATTGGCCTCCACTTCACTACACCTACTGCAACTATGATCATCATACCCGAGATACCTGCTATCAACTTCATGGGTACCCACCTGGGCACCCACGCTATAGACAGAAGCCCACTCCATGCCACAACCACACTAACAGCAGCAGTAGCAGCTGGCACACTACCAACAGCGCCGGCGGTAGTGGCCACCGTTCTCATGCCACCTTTTTTGCGCACCAAGTCATCGTCGCTCCTCCAACTCTCCAAGACATTCAGTATGCAATGCCTCACTTATCCGCCAACCAGTATCAACAAATCATGTCTATGATGGCCGAGACATCCAGCTATCCTCCTTACAACCCACAAGCACATGTCGCTTCTGCCAGTTCTTTTTCCCATGGTTTGTCACCCATCGTCTCCTCTCATGGTCAATGGATCATTGACAGCGGTGCAACGGATCACATCATATCCTCCCCTCATTTATTGACAAACAGTACACCCACAAATCATTCACCTCCAGTTTCCCTACCTAGTGGAGACAAAGCTCCAATTACTTCGACATGAAATATTCCTTTAAATTCCCATACACAATTGCAAGATGTTTTATGTGTGCCTAGTTTCAATATTAATCTTTTATCCGTTGGTAAAATTACAGATGGGTTACGTTGTTCCGTAACTTTTTTTCCTTCTTAGGTTATTTTGCAGGACTTGGTTTTGAAGACAACAGTTGGTGTGGGTAAGCGACGAGGAGATCTTTACTACCTATTGGCACTCGGCTCCACCACCACAAATGACCGTACACCTGCCTGTCATCTTCTCACCACCTCCGCTGACCTTTGGCATCGCCGTCTAGGACATGTTTCCCCAGCCCGTCTTTAATTCTTAGCTAGTACTTCTTTAAATTGCTCTTTTGATTCGCGTCATGTTTGTGATATTTGTCCGTTGGCGAAACAAACTCGCCAACCTTTCGGACTCAGTTCTATTTCAACTTCTAGACCTTTTTCTCTTTTACATTGTGACATTTGGGGTCCTAGTAAACATCATTCTCTTATTGGGGCTTATTATTTTTTATCCATCATTGATGATTTTTCTTGTTTTACTTGGGTTTTTCTTATGAAGCATAAACATGAAACACAACTCCTCCTAAAAATAAATTTCCCTATGTTGAAACACAATTCCATCTCAAAGTTCAACAAATTCATGTCGATAATGGGGGAGAATTTTTCTCCATGCGCAATTTCCGTTCTGACCATAGGATCATTTATCAACACTCGTGCATTTCAACACCCCAACAAAATGGCGTTGTGAATGGAAACATCGCCACCTCCTCGAAAGTAGACGAGCCCTTCGTTTTCAATCTAATTTACCCATAAAATTTTGGGGGAATGTGTTATTACTGCCACTTACATCATCAATCACCTCCCCACCTCTCTTCTTCACAAAAAAAAACCCCTTTTGACATTCTCTACAACAAAGCCCCATCTTACCTCCATATGAAAGTTTTTGGTTGCCTTGCCTATGCCACCTCTGTTCACCCAAGCTCCAAATTTACTCCTCGGGCCCAAAAATCAATTTATCTGCTACCCAATTGGACAAAAAGCTTACACACTCTACAATCTTGAAACCCATAAAATCTTCACTAGCCGCAACGTTCTCTTCCTTGAAGACACCTTCCCTTTCTCCACTCATGACATTTCCACACCTACCCACACTGGACCCCCTCCCTTTATTGCCCCTCATCGGCCCAGACTTCCCCACCTCATCCTTTTCGGCTCCCCACACTAAACCTTTTTCTTCCTCTCCTCCTCCATCCGACACAAGCTCCAACACCGTCCCGCCTCTTGACATCACCATCCCCACGAACCCACCTTCTCCCGACAGTACCTAGGCGCCCCCCCCCCATGACGACTTAGCCCCCGCCAACCCACACCTAAACCACCTCAGCCCACCTGTACTTCCTCCCGTATCAAGCAACCCTCCACACGCCTCAAGGACTTCGTTCGCTCGCAGGTGATACTACCCCCGCACCATTCCTCATCTTCATCGACCAGTCCACCACCAGGTACTCGTTTTCCCATCTGTAATTTTATCTCTTACCATCAATACTCACACAAGCATCTTTCTTTTGTTAACTCCATTAGTCGAAGGGTGGAGCCTTCTTCTTTTGCAGAAGCTAGCAGTGATCCTTGTTGGCGTGAGGCTATGGACTTCAAACTTGCTGCTTTTGCTGCCAATCACACTTGGACACTTACTGCTTTGCCCCTTGGCAAATTTCCCATTGACTGTTAATGGGTGTACAAGATCAAACACCGTGCTGATGGTTCTATCGAACGCTATAAAGCTCGCCTTGTTGCCAAAGGATTCACCCAGACAAAGGGCCTTGATTATCATGAAACTTTTGCTCCCACTGCTAAGATGATCATCGTTCGTTGTCTCTTAGCTATCACCTCCAGTCAGCATTGGGTTATCCACCAACTTGATGTCCATAATGCTTTTCTCCATGATGATTTACATGAAGAAATATATATGTCTCCTCCTTCTAGTGTTCAACAATAAGGGGGAATCTAAGGTGTCGCCTTCACAAATCTCTTTATGGACTCAAATAGGCCTCTCGACAATGGTTTGCCAAGTTTATAGAAGCCATTCTTGTTGCTGGTTTTATTCAGTTAAAGTCCAATTATTCTCTTTTCACCCTCAAAGATGGCAAGTCTTTTATAGCATTGTTAATTTATGTTGATGGTATTCTGATTACAGGCAACGATATTGATGCAGTTAATTCTCTCAAAAGCTTCTTACACACTCATTTCCGCATCAAGGACTTAGGGGATTTGAAATATTTTTTGGGTATTGAAGTCTCTCGTTCCAAGAAACTTGAGATACTCAAGGATTATGGGTTCTTTGGTGCTCGCCCTATTGATTTTCCAATGGAGGAAGCCAAGCTTTCTGACAAAGGTGAATTGCTGAAAGATCCTGAAAAATACAGAAGATTGGTGGGACGATTGCTTTATCTGACTATTACACGGCTGGACATCACTTATTCCGTACATGTCCTGAGCCGTTTCATGCATCAGCCGCGACTACCTCACATGAATGCTGCTCTCCAGGTTGTTCGGTACCTCAAGTCTACTCCGGGTCAAGGTTTTCTTTTTCAGTCTGACAATAAGTTAGATTTAATTGCTTATTGTGATTCGGATTGGGCTGGTTGTCCTATAACCTATCGTTCAACTACTGGATATTGTGTATTCTTGGGTAATTCATTATTTCCTGGCAAACAAAGCGACAGAAGACAGTTTCATTATCCTCAACTGAAGTTGAATGTAGCGAAATGGCTTGCACCTGCTGTGAGATTACTTGGTTACGTTTTTTGTTGCAAGATTTACACTTGCCATCTTCCGGTGCATCTCATATATATTGTAATAATCAGGTGGCACTACATATAGCAGCAAACTCAATCTTTCATGAGAGAACACGACATATTGAGATGGATTGCCATTTTATTCAGGACAAAATACTTGATGGTACTATTTCTACATCGCATGTGAACTCTTCGCTCCTAGCTGATACCTTTACAAAACCATTGGGCAAGGAGAAATTTTCAATTATGTTACGCAAGTTGGGTGTTCTTGACATTCACTCTCCAACTTGAGGGGGAGTGTTTGAAAATAAATACAATTTAGATAGGAAAGAAATCTGTAATTGATCCATATCCAATCCTTACCTTAGATGGTATTCCTTATTATACAAGGAATACTTATGTATATATACCTGTGTTATTACTAAAACATTCATTTCAGCCAAATATCCTTTTCTACATAATTGATTATTCAGAAAGTACAGATCTGTGTGATTTTCCCAATCTAGCTACTCAATCTGGGAAATTAATACAAATGATTTGATTATAGCTAGCAGTACCAATATTCAGAACTGATCCCATATTGTCTCAGGATAGATTTCAAAGTCCCAAAGGTACTCTCGCTGCAGTTCTTCATCGCTGGTGGATCCATTCACAAATCTTCTCAATTTCTCAGTTATTTTTGCAGCCCCAAAATCAAGCATAGACTTGCCCATCTACACAAAAGAAAATCCAAATGAATAATTCTAATAAATATCAAAACAAAACCCAATTGATATCAAATTTCTTGAAAAATTTCCATTGCTCTACCTCTGCACGTATAACGTGAAATATTGAGTCTCCCAAAGTTGATAAGCTCGCATGCACAACATCTGCTTGTTCGTCGTGAAGTATACGAATTATTTCGTTGAACATGAACTGGTAATTGTCTAGCCCACTGATCAATACTACCTCCAGTGTGGACCCCATCTCATGGATTTGGATTTGCGGTGGTTTTGAGCTCCTCATGCTATCAAAGTTTGTGCATGCAGTATGTGATCTTTTTCTCTTTCCCTTTAAGCTATCCCTCTTCTCCTGGGACTTCTGCAGCTTTGACTCTAGGCTTTTTATGTAGTTTATGGCTTCATCTATTTGATCAGGCAGACTTAGTGGCTCCTGTATTTAATTGGTGTCAGAACAAATTAAAGCATTATTTACTTAAATTCTCTGTCTTTCAGCATAAAGCATTATTTACTGTAAAAAAAAAAAAAAAAATATATATA